TTCTTCCTCTCTCAAAAATCCCTCCTACTCATTTCTTCCTAAGACCCCCTGCAGCTTTATCCTTGCTCTGCTCCAGTAGGCTTTGGCTCTGCTCCAGTCTAGGCATGAAGCATATCTGTGCCCCAGCCCGGCCTACTAGCAGCCATGGCAGGGGTGCGGCAGCTCTGCCATTGCTACCAGGTCAAAGCAGAGTTTGACCCTGATGGAGCAGAACAAGAGTAAGCAGCAGTGGAAGTGGTGGAGGGAGCATGGGGAGGAAGAGGAGGCAGGGTTGGCTGAGGCTGTGTGGGGAGGTAGGGACAAGAGTCAGGAGGCAAGGGGCAGGGGTCAAGTTGTTTAACCCCCTCCCTCCCACAACACTGCCTGCTGTCTTCACACTGACTCCCTTACAGGTTACCCCCATGATTGTTTCCCCCACTGCCTGCCCCTCAACTGCTTCCCCTATCACCTGCTTCCTGGCCACTGCTTTCCCCACTGCAGTGGTTCAGGGGATGAATTTAAGATGACCTTCTAATAATTAGGTTCTAGACATGGAAAATTGTAACAAATTTTCAATATACAGAATCTAAATATTGGTGGGTCATTTTATATTCAGGGTCATCTTAGATTTAGGTAAATACAGTAAATTAAAGTAAATACTGTATTTTGTTTCTAGTATACAGGCACACTTTCCTGGAAAAAAATATTATGTCTGCCAAAAACCCATGCCTGTGAAAAAAGAGACATCAGTTTTAGGTCCTGCAGTACCTGAGTGACCCAGCGTTCTGTCTGTCACGTGCCTGGTCTTTTTCATGACAGTCAGCAGGGTCCTCTTTTTCCTGGGATTGAGCATTTTTCATTTTTATTTTAGATTTTTTTCCTGCAGTGGCATGGAGACATGATTTACAATCACAGTGGTAAGGGCCTGTCTGCTTTAGACTGAGCTAAAGAACAAAGGACACTTATATTACCAACCCAAGTATGTCCATGCCTGAAACTATTCCAGAACAGCCATTCCATGTTAAATACATATGCAAACTTAACCAAAAATAATTTAAACATCTACACAAGTCTTAATGCTTTGTAATTATGATGCATCATGAAGTTGCCATGTCTTAATTTTCAGGTTTGCCAAAGGCTGATATATTTTTCAGTGTTGTAAAATGGCTACAACATGATTAGGTATTTTCTAAACAGATTAACTCTGTTAGCAAACAATTGGAAACTGTTATTAACAACAACCAAACTAAAGAATTAAGGTAGGAACTTTATCATTTTAAGGAAAATGACATGGGGTTTTATGGAAGAAATTTCAAGATGAAGCAATGGATGCTAATGGCTCACTTTTGTAGTGTCCTCAATGGTGCCTTTAGTTTTGTACCCACAAGCAGAGCATAAGTAATGTTAGTATGTAGGGAGTGAGAGCATTCATAAATAATGTTAGTTTGTGGGCAGGGGGAAGGGATTTCTGGAACTGCCTAGGTGAGTAAGTTAAGAGCTCAAAATTACATTCACTTTTAATGGTAGTTGTGTTCCTCCTAGCTCTGAGTTGTTTAAAATCTTACCCTAGCTGCTTCAGAGTACCTGATATGTTGGTTCAGTAAGGTAATCAGTTTTAAGCCTGATTGTTGCACACAATTAATTACACCTGCAGACTCAGCCTTTTGGCTCAGATGAAGTGTAGGGGGCATCAGATTCCCAAGACCTCTGGGCTTGGGCCTGCACGTAGGATGCCTGCCAATGGATCTGGGAGTATGAAGTCCCAGGGTGAGAGTCTGGGATGGAGGATGCTTGCTGGTTGTAGCGCCATACGTGGTGTTTAGAATGACTGAATTCCGCCTGCTCAATCAATATGGATTTTGGAATGATTGAATTCTGCTCAATCAGTGTAATTTGGAACTGATTTAGCTAATTTGACTTGGAACACCATATATAAAAGAAAAGTTGGGCTCGAGAATTGATTGCAGACCTAAAACAAGTCAAATGATGCAAGGCTGACAAATTTGTCTGTGTCACCTGAAATACCGAATTAATTAAAATACCATTAACTCAGCTAAAAACTTCAACTTTAGCATGATCAGAAGTATATAACCAGGAGACTAATGTCTTCATTTGAAAAGATTAAAGGAAGCTTCTATAATTGAAAACTATTTAAGCCCCTTTCAACAGAGGGACCCACAGGAGTATTTTAAATGCCTTTCCCCCCGTTTTTGTCTTTGAGCGCTGAAGTGGGAATGTTAATGTATTCTGGTTTAAAAATCTGGTGCCCCACAACAAAATGGGTTAGAATCTTAGTTGGCTAACCATATTGCCTCTTTTTATAAGCCTGGTTTTTAAAATACTGTGTGTGTGTAATTAGCAAACTTTATCATAAATGAACTTTTAAAGAACAAGCAAGCATCTTTGCACTCACCTGATTGAGCTGTCCTATTTAAAGGCTGCTTGTGAACTGGGAGGGGAACTCGGGCCAATCCAGCTACCTCAGTGATAAAGTCCTGTTCTGCTTGCTGAACACAAAGGAGACAAATGTTTAAAATAGAAGAACGCTACCAAGAATGGTATAGTTTGATTACAGACTCCGTTCTCCTCTGCATGGGTGATGGAGAGGAAATGTATGCATTTAAAAGCATACATAGTGACCATCTTTACTTCTGTGTATGAAAGCATGCAACTATTAATAGGAAGACTGTTTTTTGCTGTTGATTAAAAGAAGAAAATGTGTTGTGACAGAAGTCCTCACAATGAAGGAGCTGGTCTCTTTAGAACTTGCTCTGTAGGGAACCTGAGGTGGAAAAATAAGACATTAATATAAAAAACTGCCACCAAATTTTCGTCTTTAGGTGAATCAGATTTAACAATAAGTTTAATTGATGTGGCTTTTGAAAACTTGCAAACCTACTTTACAGCCCATTTGAGTCAATGGGGTACCTTTCCATTGACTTCAGTACACTTTGGAAAAGGAGCTCGTCAGAAATTTTTGCTGCTGAGTATATCTGGAGTGGGATCAGGTCTTCAGATAGCTGTGTTTTGTTTTACTCTGCTTTACCTTTAGCTGGTTCTCAACCTCTGTTTCTAGATGATGCAATGCCAGTATCCGCTGCTTTAGAGACTTCAATCGAGCCTGCTGCTGCATGTCAAACTGGGCCAAGAACCTTTTTTGCTGCAATAACATCCTGGTAAAGGGAAACAGAAAAGTTTGAATATGTAGTTTGTTTAGTTGAAGGGATAGATACATTGTTAGAGAAAAGATAAGACTAATAACATCATCCTGTGCCGTGATAAATGACCAGTCAGTATTGCTACAGCAACATATTTTATTAGTCTTCATGATCAGTAAATGGAATCTCTGTATTTTGCTGTCTTCTAGTTAGGTTTATTTTTAACTCTAACCCTGTAGGTACTTATGTTGCCTTGGATGGTCCTTTGGTGAGATTCAGATCACATAGTGGTCTGAGATTACAGCAGTGGCTCTCAATCTTTTTGGTCATGAGGCACACCTCGCTAGACTTGAGGGACACTTCCATAACTTTTGTGAATTGAGTGGCACCCATTTTCAAAAAATTATTCCTATATTATAGTGCTTACCTCCTTGCAGATGGGCTGGGCAGTGCAGCTGGGGAATCGTTTAGGCAGGCACAAGTCAGAGTCTGTGCTTATCTGCTTAGCTGATCTCCTTATCTGCTCCCACTTGTGGCACCCTTCAAAGGATCTGGCAGCACCCAGATTGTCTGGCTGACCATCACTGGTTACAGGCTGCAGCAGAACTATGCTACATTTGGTAGTTAATCTTCACATCAACTCTGTTGCCCATTTGCCAGGGAGACTAACTTTTCAAAGCATAGTGAAGACAGAAAAGAATTAGGAGCTTTAACTTGGCTAGCCCTCCTACTCTCCAGTGTGCATCATGATCTAGTAGGGATTACGGAGAACTAGTGGGACTCCTCACACAATGGGAGCATAGCTATAGGGGGCTACACCCTGCATAGAAGGGACTGGGTGGGGAAGAAAGGTGGAGGTGTTCCTCTCTATGTGAAAGAGCAGTACACTTCTTTGGAGTTTGGCTCCCAAAATGGATAGCTTGAAACCCTCTGAGTCAAGTGTTCGTGGCAAGACAGACCTAACTGTAGGTATATACTACAGACCACCAAACCAGAGGGAGGAACTCAATCTGGAGTTTACCCGAGAATTGACTGAAGCTGCATGTGCATGTGACTTCATCATCATGGGTTATTTTAATTATCCAGACAGACATTTCTTGGGAGGAACACTTGGTTAAGTTGGATTGGTCACGATCCTTTCTGACCTGTCAAAGATCTCTTCCTGACTCAGGAGGTGCATGGGCCTACCAGAGGCGACGTGCTGCTAGACTTGGTCCTGGGCAAAGGAGACAACTTGGTGACTGATTTTAAAAACAGAGGGAAGTCTGGGCAACAGTGACCATGAAACCATCATGTTCACTGTCTGACATAAGGCAGACAAGTCAGACAGCAGGATTGAAGTCTTGAACTTCAAAAATACGAATTCCAACAAACTTAGGTCACTAGTAAGGCAAGTGCTGTAAGATCAGGGACCAAAGGTGAAAGGTGTGCACGAGTGGTTGTTCCTTAAGGACACATTCCTTGAAGCACAAAGGAAGTCCATTCCCATGCAGAGAAAAGGTAATAGAAGGGCTGGGAAGCCCGCTTGGCTAAACAGGGAAATCAGTCCTCTTAAAAAAGAAGAAAGAGGCTTATAAACAATGTAAGCTCAGGGTGGGCCCCAAGGAGGACTATTCCATGATGGCCTGCATTTGCAGGGAACAGATAAGACAGGCCAAAGCAGTGACCGAACTCAGATTAGCAATGGGAATCAAGGACAACAAGAAGTTCTTCTTTAGGTACACAGGGAACAGGATGAAAACAAATGGGAGTGCAGGGCCAGTGCTCAGCAACTCAGCAGAGCTGGTTACCACTACCCAGGAGAAAGTCATTCAGGAGTTCAGCTATCTCGCCTCGGTCTTTCACCGGACCAAGAGGAAAACCACACCAGGTAGAGTAGAGGATGAACACAGTAGGAATAATCCTCTTCTTACTACAGTCGTAGAATTCGTGTAAGATCAATTAAAAAAATTAGACGCATACAAGTCAGTGGGACCGGATGATCTTCATCCTAGAGTGCTGAAGGAGGTGGCCGAAATCATTGCAGAACCCCTGGCGAAGCTCTTCCACAACTCATGATGCTCTGGAGAAGTCCCTGAGGACTAGAAGAGGGCCAAAGTTGTGCCCATCCACAAGAAGGGGAGGAGGGAGGACCCGGGTAACTATAGGCAAAATCATGGCTTTGTCGTGGGCAGGTCTTACCTTATGAACCTCACTTTCTTCTATGACCAGGTAACTCACCACCTGGACACAAGAGAGCAGGTTGACATTGTATATCTTAATTTCCAAAAGGCCTTTGATCTAGTAACCCACAATGTCTTCATGAGAAAATTGGAGGATTGCGGGCTTAACTCCAAGACAGTGAGGTGGATAAGAAACTGGCTGCAGGATAGGACCCAGAGAGTCATAGTGAACAGATCTGTGTCATCCTGGAGAGAAGGGGGCAGGGGTATGCCACAGGGTGTGGCGCTTGGTCCAGTACTTTTCAACATCTTTATTAACGATTTGGATGTGGGGCTGAAGAACTCACTGGCCAAGTTCGCAGAGGACGCCAAGTTATGGGGTAGCATGGTCATGCTTGAAGACAGGCTACAGATACAGGCAGACATAGATAAGCTAGCAAGTTAGGTGGATTGCCATCTGATGAAGTTCCATATCGACATGCCAGGTGCTCCAAATCGGGACGAGCAGCGCCCAGCACACCTACAGGTTTGGTGGCACCAAACTGACTAGCACCATGAATGAAAGGGACCTAGAGGTAATAATAGATCACAGTATGAATATGAGCCAGCAGTGTGATGCCACAGCCAGTAAGGCAAATAATATGCTGGCATGCATCGATTGATGCATCGCCAGCAAAGCCAAGGAGGTGATTGTTCCGCTCTACTCAGCACTGGTGAGACCACAGATGGAGTACTGCATCCAGTTCTGGGCACTGCACTTTAACAAGGACGTGGACAAGCTTGAGAGAGAGTCCAGAGAAGAGCCACCCATATGATCAGATTTTTCAAAGGCAAGCCATATGAGGAAAGCCTGAGGGATCTGGGACTCTTCAGTCTGAAGAAAAGAAGGCTGAAAGGGGGACCTGGTAGCAGCTTACCGCTGCACTAGGGGAATATATCAAGGGCTTAGTGAGCAACTGTTCTCCAGGGCACCCGAGGGGCAAACCAGGAGTAATGGCCACAAACTCCTGGAAGATCGATTCAGGCTCAGCATTAGGAAAAACCTCTTCACAGTCAGGCTGTCCAAATTGTGGAATAAGCTCCCTCCAGAGGTGATGCAATCACCTACCCTGGACATCTTCAAGAGGAGACTAGACAGTCACCTTGCTGGGGTCACCTGATCCCCAAGTATCTTTCCTGATTGGTGAAGGGGGCTGGACCTGACAATCTTCCGAGGTCCCTTCTGGCCTTACAATCTATGAATCTCTGAACTCTGTGATACCAAACTGAGACTTGCATATTTGACCTTTCCAGAACAGCATTTGCATTGGTAAATATACCTCTGCATGGTTTTTTTTTGACGTTTTAATGTTAAAATAACAGAACATATCTTATCTCTGCTAAATATGAAATGCCTCTCTTCTCCAGCCTCCTCTGCTCTGAAACTGCAGTGTTAATTTCAGTTACGCCCAGATTTTTAAAGACCTAAATACCTTTAAAAAATTGCTCTTTAACTGCCTTTGATATTTGAGCACTCCAAGCGCAACTGCCATCTAAATACCACCAAAGTACTTAATCAAGGGCTATTTTAATGTTAAATGACTAGAGAATATTTACTTTTTCTATTTGATCTTCTAATCACCAGAGAAATCAACAGGAGCCCACCCGTTGATTTTAAAAGGAAGTGGAACAGTTAATGCGTTCTACATAACTAGGATATAACCTTAGAGGAAATTACAGTGAGTGGGAAAAATAAGTGCTGATAATTGATTAGTGTTATGATGCTATCTTGAATTTGTAAAGAAAAAAACCCTCTTTCTTCATGAATATGTATTTCAGCTTGAAATGAAGTTGACTTTTTTGGAAAATATTAAAATATATTATGGACAAATGAAAAAATAAAGCAACAGCTATCATTTGTCAAGTGAGGAAGGATGGAAGTTTCATGGAAACAGAATAAGGATTATAATGGTGAGTGACAAAGTGAGATTTTTCTGTGCAGCTTTGAGCTATGTGGATTACTCTCTAGAAAACTAATATTCCAAATGAGAATAAAAAGTGGGGACCTCAGTAATGATTTATTTCAATTTAGAGGCAGCAGACTATCTGAAGAAACGCTAAACCTCCTTAGTGTGTCAAACTTACACGGTCTGTGTCTGTCCTAATGTTAAGCCAGTTCTTTATGAAGAGAGTGAAGAGATGACATGAATAGGTAGTAGAAAATTGACATGAATATTACATTATAATCTCCTGTATTACATGTCCTAGGGCCTGTTCTGCAAGCACATACACAAGAATTTTTTTATGGTAGAAATTTAACCTGGGAAAGAGTTGTTTTTTAGCTGAGGATCTTTGTGTAAAATCATACGTGGGTGATCTACTTATTTTTGGTTGTACTAAAATCTTTTATATTATATTTGCACTAATACATTCTAAGAACTAGATCTGTTTGAAGGATCTAGTCTAAAATGTCATGGGGAAAGGATGAATGGCTGAGCAGTCTTTCCAAAGATTTTAGAAACAGGAACACTTGTCTAGGATGGCTTAGCTTGCGGGCATATCGTACCTTGAGCTGGGGGTTGGATTAGTTGACCTCCTGAGATCCCTTCCCTACTTTTTTCTATTATGCATAGAATATGAATTTCATTTTTCTTTTCATTTCAAATTCATGTTCCCTTAGCTCTACCTAAATTGCAATGTAAATTTACTCAAAGGCTGACTAATAATACTTCAATATTTAAAGTAGATAGGACAGAGTATGATGGATCAGAAAGCATTAGTACTCATCTAATATTTATTTCAAATTGCTTTTAAAAAGCAGTGCATGGTTTGCAATGGGTTTTTCTTTATTTTTTTAACTGTTCCAATAGAAATTAGATTTATTTGGCTTTTCATTCTATCATCACTGAGCATCAAAAAGTTGGTTAATAACAAAGCAATTACTGAAATACGGTTTTCACATAATTTGGAAATACATTTATTTTCTTTTTCTTAAAGACAAGCAGCTATCACAGACAAACTATTTAATCATCAGGGATCCTGCACAAAATTGCAAATTCTCCGTTTAAAAAAATAGCAAATTCTCTGAGTAAAAACTCCAAAGTCCATGATTAAAATGAAAGGCCCCTCACTCTCCCCACAGCCCTGTTTGAACTCTCCACTTGCTCCCCAACAACAGCCCCCTACCCCACCCTCAACTGCCAGGGCTATGGGGCCAGGGAGCCGGGTCCACAGCCCCCTGCCCCTAGCAGGAGGTGGCGGCGGCTGCTGCAGCAGAGTGGAGCCCAGCTCACCCCTCTGCTGCCTGCCTGCTGCACGTTCAGGTGGGGTGGGGGTTAGGGTTAGGGCTGCTTCTTGCACTCCTGGGGAGGCAGGGGGGAACCCATGACCCCCAGATCTGTGTGTGGGGCAGGGGCGGGTACAGGCTGCCCACTACTCAGACTCTCACCCTGCTCTTCTCCCCCAGGGCCTCCACAGCCCAGTGGATGAAACCTGACACTGCAGGGAACAGTGGGGTTGCACAGGGATCTCTTTGCCACTGAGAGCTCTGCGCTGCCCTGGCAACGCGTCTGCTAGATATGCAGCAGCAGCAGAGGTGGCGGCCTGGGGTTGTGCCCCTCACTGATGCCACATGTGCAGGGGATGTATCGCTAGGGCAGTGTGGAGCTTGCAGCAGCAAAGAGATCCCCGCGCAACCCCATTGTTCCCAGCAGTGCCATGTTGTACCCGCTGGGTTACAGAGGCCTTGGGGGAGGGCAGCAGAGCAGAAGACTGAGCCCACAGCAGGCACCTGTGCCTGTCCCGCGCACAGATCTGGGAGGCACAGGTTCTCCCTGCCCCTCAGAAATGCATGCAGTGGCAGGGAGCTGGCCCCACATTCCCTGTCCCCCTGGAAGAGCCACCTGCAACCCCATCCTGCTCTCCGCTGGGGCCTTGAGGCTGCACATTGCAGCTCTGGGCCCCAAGCCCCACACAATGCCTGGCTAGGCAGCAGCCCCAGCCCCAACACTGCCCAACTTCCTCCCTCCCTCTCTGTGGGGGCCTCAACACCCCCCCCCCCTTACCTACGGTAGCTGCTCTCCAGGCTGCCTGGTGGCTGTGTGCAGATACATGCACATGGCATCCCCTACCTGACCGCCCTCCTCCTGCTCCGCCCTCCCTGCAGCTCGCAGAGAGCTCTTTGATAAACTGCAAAACCTGCAGGATTCTCCATTAAGATAAGAAGTTTCCATTTTCCTCCGATAAAGGGGAAAATCCATATTTTTCTCTGTTTTTCAGTGGGAAACAAAACCCTGATCCCTGTTAATCATATATAGAAGTACTGAGACAAGTCGTAAGATTTAAGAGCAAGTAATTCCCCAGTCAGCTCTCACCTTTGAGGAACAGCAGATGATATGTCCAAGGTACCTTCATTAGGTTTTTCTTTCAATGTCCATTCATTCTCTTCATGTTTTCTTTTAAGTCTGTGATTTTCACTCCTTTCTGCTAAAATAACAACACTCCTGAAATAATCATCTGCTCAAAATTACAAGCCCTGTGATAGTTTTAGTTGTGTGACTGCTGTTAATTTATATTTTCCTATCAGCACAATTCAATACAGTCTTCCAACAATTATTGCTCTTGTAGCATATGAAATACATTTTGCTTACTTATGCCACGCCACACACAATTTCTTTTAAAACCAGTTGAAATACTTACCTTTTTTTCTCCATGAAGGTTAAGATACAGGTAATTTTAAGGGAATTAATATTTTTAGCCATTTTCCTCATTAAACTGATGGATAGATCATAGGATCATAGAAAATTAGGGTTGGAAGGGACCTAAGGATATCTAATCCAACTCCCTGCAGGACCGTCTCCAAATAGATCATCACAGGCAAGGCTTTGTCTAGCTGGGTCTTAAAAACCTCCATGGATGGAGATTCTACAACCTCTCTGGGGGTGTGTCTATATGTGCATATTAATGTGAAGTAATAAACATTGGCACATATTGCACCAGAGTTTATTGCTCCAGGGCACTGTGTTTACATGTATGTTCAGGATCGCAGTACGTTGAACCCGACTAAAGCAACCACAGCTGGCAGGGAGTCGGGGGGGGTCAGCTTGCCAGCCCAGGGCTGCTCTGACCCGGCTCAACGTGCTGTGGAGGTGATGGCTGGGGTACAAGGGTGTTCTAGTTTGGGGCTAGCTGGCAGGCAACCCCCACACCGATGCACCCTTGTGCCCCAGCCAGCTGGGTCAGCATCTACATGTGTGCCGCTGCGCACAAAAAACCTCTTCAGCAGGACAGTGCTTGTATTTACAAATACTAGCTTGCTGAAGAGTTTATTTGTCTCCTGCAGCCTAATAGGGCTGCATGTGTAGATACTGAGATGTTTACTGCAGAGCTAATTAGCAACTCTGCAGTAAACGTCTCATGTAGACACACCCTGGGTAGTCTGTTCTAGTGCTTTACTTCCCCCCTAGTGAAAGACTTGTTCTTAATAGCTAACCTAAACTTCCCTTGGTGTAAATTTAGACCATTGCTTCTTGTTCTTTTATCTGCCACCACTGAGAACAATTTAGCTCCATCCTTTTTGTAACCACCCTTCAGCTAGCTACAGACTGTACACCAGTTTCCAGTTACTTATACTGATTTGTGTAACCTGTAATGGAACAGAAGTTCAGCACATGTAGACTGGTTTAAAAACAGCAGAACTTGATCAGAGAGAGACTTGGATGGATGTATTATCAGATTTAATTGGTTTAGTTTAGACCAGTGAGTCAAACTTCTGTTCCAGATCTCCTCCTAACTCAAATCAGATTTCAGTTCCCTGGCATTACAAGCTACTTTGCAGGTCCCCATTAACACCCTCCTCCCCTTGCAGGGTAGGTGGGCTACCCTCAGCCCCTGTTTGTCTGTTCTGCCCAAACACTGGGCCGGCTCTGCCCCTGGGATGTCACAGGAGTCAGGCCTGAGAGATGCACTGTAGGGGGCTGGGGAGCAGAGGCAGAGGGTGGGGGAGTGGATATCCCCACCCCACGGGCCTGGCTCTGGACCTCTGAGACCCAAGCAAGCACAGCTGGAGGAGGGATGCCACCCTTCCTCCCTGCCCTTCCCCTCCCTTCCCCCCCCGCCCCCGCTGCCACTGACAGCTGGCTGCTAGGGGGCCAGAGCCGGGAGAGAGGCCGCATTGGGAGATATGCAGAAGTGCCCCCCACCTTCTAGCCTCAGCCAGTGCAATATTCTGTGCGCCACCCCCAAGGGTGAACATATTCCATTTACTCCTGATCCAATCTATACAGCTTAGAGAAACCTGCATAGGTTTGATTTATTCCTACTTGGGCTTTTTGAATATCCGTACCTAGCCATCAGGTAATTGAAGGCTGTTATTAAATCACCTCCTAAATCTTCTCTGCAGACTAAATAAGCCAAGCTCCCTCAGCTTCTCCTCATAAGACCAAAATGAGCATATGTGGAATTGAGGCATATAAATTAAAACTTTGATCTAAAAATCAATTGCCACCTCACCCTGGAGACAGCTGAACTCACAAGAAGTCTCCCAGTCTGACCCGAAAGTTCCTCAGGTTCCTAGTACTCAGCCCCAATCTGAATATTTTGGTGCCCCGTTCACAGGTAAGGCTAACTGAATTCCAGAACTGAGGTGCTCCTCTTCCTGTCTTCTCTAATGGCCGTGAACCAGTTGGCATTTAGAGAGCATGGCAGGACTGGCCTCTTCACAAAATGCAGTTGTCATTTTCTTTTCAAATGGCCACTACTACTCACCTTTTATATATGGATGTAGCTATAGCACATGTTGACCAAGTGAGAGACTGGATTAAATAGTCTCTTAAACCTAAAGGAGTTCAAAACCACCTATCCAAGAGCTCCCTAATTACCAGGTGTATGTGGGCTGCTCTCAGTCCTCTTCTTTAAGCTGTGGTAGTGTGCAGAAAATAATTCAAGATTCAATGAATTAAAAAGAGCACAAGAGGAAGAATGGCCATAGCCCAGTGATTAGGGTACCTCACTGTTAAGAGGAATTCTTGGGTTCTGGTCCTTGCTCCTGGAAGGCTTGTGTATTTTCAATTAAATAATTACTGAATAAAATGCAGATACAATCCTAGGAACAGAATTGAGAACCTAGGGACTCCTCACACCCAAACTAGGTTTTAAGAGTCAGACTCTTCTTTTCTGGCATAATGAATCTTGTATTCTTTTCTGTATAGTGGCACAGCTTATACCTATTATCCTTTCTTTCATATAGGCCTTCTGTCCTGATATGAAAAAGGGCTTTAATAAAAGAGAAATAGTTGTTCAATGCTCCTAAAAAAAAATCACAGCTGGATTGCAGCAAAAGCACGTAGGTTTTCAAAATGCCTTCACTACTAGTTATTCATTTGATCTGTAAATGTCTGCTGGGTCTGTCTCTTGGGCTACCTCGGTCTAGATGCTATTATTCGGGGCCTCATAGACTCCTGTGTTTATTACCAACATCAATAAGCTTGTGTTCTACCGTGCCAAACTTATACTTTAATGGAATAGTGAAGGAATCTTTGCCCCTAAATGCGGAACTTTGATTCAAGAGCAAAAAATGTGCTCCTAATACTGCTTATGATTTAAATTCTTACACAGTATATAAATCATATAGCACTTGGGCATCAAAACATGCATATAACCAAACAAACCCATGAAAAAAAATCTCTACAAGAGTAATTACTAAGCTTCTGGTTTGTGTAATGAGTATTCTTTACTCTCAACTTGGATGCCAGTTGTGAGTGGTAATCAAAGTCCTAGTTAAGCAAAGCTCTTAAGCATGTGTTTAAGTAAATCCTGATTCAGAAAATGTCTTGGCTCATGCTTCATTTTAAGTGGATGCTTAAGGTCCATTCAACTCAACAGGATTTCAGGAACAAGGGTCACAAGTCTAGACAGTAGTGTGGTTGAGGGTGAGGGAGGTCTCTGGGATAGCAGCCCCAGATGATGCCCTTAGTTTGGGGAAGGCACAAAAATAGCCACTGTCACATGTGGCTGTGTGCATTATCACTGCTGGCAGTCAATGCTGCCCCATGTGGACCTACTGATTAGAGCTACCCTCCCACAGCTTTGGGACTAGACTAGTAAAGGGATACCAATAGTTTTTAAGCACCTACATCCAAAATGTAGATCCTTGAAACCACAATGAAGGCACCCCTGTTTCCAATGCCAAAATCAACTAAGTGCATAAAGTTTTGCTTCTGGTCATGCCAAAACACACATCAGTCATGACAATGCTGAACATTTTGGCTCCTACCTCATGCCTAAGCTTTATCAGGATTCACAAGTGGGGCATTTTCCCTCACTACACTTCTGACCAGGCTGAGAGAAAACTTACTAGCTCAGGCCACGTGCAACATGGCTGCTGAGCAGAAGATTCCCTTCTACTAACTTTATTCCAAGATGGAAAACTCACTTAAAATGTGAGTGATACGGACTCAAGTCCTTCCTGAGGAAATAATGAGCCTACACCCAGGAGAGCACCCCACCTACCAAGATACAGGATATTCGGAGGTAAGCTTGGCTGGGATCTTTCGATCTCTATTGTTGAAGCTGTTCGACTTTACATGGAATGATTAGATAATTCTTGGGCAAGAAAGACTCTCTTGCCTGCTAGTCTCTCTTTCTGAGAGAGGGAAGATCTGTGTGCCCAGCCCCAGCTCCAAAGACAATGAATATGAATGAGCCTTTCATATTAAATAATTATTGAGTGGGAACTGAAATGTAGCTCTCCCCTCTTCCAGGTGAGTGCTCTAGCTACTAGGTTATACAGCCATATTCTCTCTCTCGCCCACTGAATATTTAGTAAGGTTATGCCAGTTGTTCTCAACCTTTTTAGACTCAAGTTAGACTTGAGGCACCCTTCCAGGACTTTTGTGAATGGAGTGGCAACCTATTTCAAAAACAATTGTTTTGTTATGATGCTTATTTCCTTGCAGAGGGGCAGGGGAGTGGCCAGGCAGAGAGAGCCTGGGCCTGCCTTTATCTGCTTATTTCCTCACACCTGGAGCTTGAGCTGCCCCTGCCCCTGCCCCTGTCTACTTCTCTCCTCACCCTTCTTGCAGCACCCTTCAAAGGATCCCAGGGCACTCCGGGTGCTCCAGCATCCTGGTTGAGAATTACTGATTGAGTATTGGCTTCTAAATGTTACTGCAATTCAAATAAATAATAATAATACTTCTAATATTCCATTTTTTGAAGTAGAAAATAGATCTGAACATTTCATTTACTGTTAAATAAAATAATGCTGTAATATTTTAAAGACACTTTTCACTCAGAAACAAATCAATAGCAGTTGCCAAATATATATATATTACCACCACGTGGTTATAAAGATGAGGCACACCTAGAAGAGATTTCAGTTGTTGAAGTTTTTTGTCTTCGTAATCTCCCATGATTTTTCCTATTTGCTGGTAGTAGCTTTGTACCACTCTACTGACGCTGCTGATGGTCACATATACACTCTCTACAGCTGATTCTGTTAATCTTTCCTGCAATGTACAGTACAAGGATTGTTATTTTACCAAGTTAAGGACTAAAATATTTAGTTCGCTTAAGCAGTGAGAAGGAAGATGTCTGGAAAACCTCATTTCTAACTTTAGGTGTGAACATCTGACTCTAAATTTACTGCTTGGGAAATATGCTAGATTGACATTCATGAAAATGAGTTCCACTAAACCTTGCAATGCAAAAATATTTGTGTAAGCTGAGTGTGCTATGACTGATGCTCCTGTGGCTTCTCAGCTCTGCAGCAGTTCTGCTTATTAACCCAGAGTACTTATTATCCTTAAATAAGTGATCTTACCTGTTCTTAATTGTTCCTAAGACAGAGAGAAATAGGAAATTCTTAATGACTTTACATATTCTGTAGTTAGATTTAGGCTTGGCTGCTAGGGTGTGTCATCAGAATAGCCCTGTACTCCTATCCAGTTTTAGCAGGATACTTGGTTTCTAAGCCAGGTGTTTCCTGACAGAGGCCTGAAGCTTTCTTCCATTTTATCAAGATATTTCCTTCTTAACAAGGCCATTGGAGAATTCCCTAATACCTTTAAGTCTTCTCTGTCCTCAGAGCTCTGCTTTGTAGCTTCCTGTCGGGCATGCTGGAGCAAGGTCTGGCCAATCCCTTGTTCCACATGTTGCTGCACAAGCTGAAGAGCTTCGTGGATTTCTGTCACAAACTGGAGGTGAAATTCTGAACGTGTTTGTTGAGTCTCCTCCTCTAGCTTCTCCTCTTCTTCCAGAATGTGGGACTCCTGGTGACCAGACAAAAACTTTAAGATGAGCTTACTTTCTCCTATTTGCTCTATGACACCAAATACAGGACATTAGACAATTGATTCTTCATGGGATAAATGTCACATTCTGGCATAACTCTACCTACGCTGGTAAATTCCACTGAGCTGAGTGTTTCTCTGTTTGAAACAGGGCTGTCCTGTGCTATATTTAAATGTATCTCTACCTAGTTCACTCTAGAGAGCCCGCTCTACTCTTAATGCTCATTACCTATACTGTTAGGAGCAATATGCTACTGAAAGTGATACCTTTCAGATTAAATTTGAAATTAGGTCCTGCCCATTTCTGGGCATTAAACAGCATGTTTAATGCCCAAAAATGGGCAGGACCTAATTTCAAATTTAATTTCAAGTTTAACAAACTCCAAATAGCAAGTGTATTAATCTCAGTGATGCATTTTTATTTCAAACCAAGTCATTCCACTTGCCTACCACGGTTTCAATTATTATGTAAGAGGTAGGTATTGTTGTTGTTACTGCTGTTACTACTAGAAAGCTGTAAAATACTTCAACGTTCAAAAAAATTTTTTCTGGAGGCTTCCATGTATTTTAGTTGTAAGGTCCAAATACAGTGGTTTCCACATCCCTTAAATTGACTATGCTGTAATGAATTATTTCCTTTCTCTCCTTTCAATTTAAGAATGCCGCACTATAAAGGCTAAGATAATAGGCTAATATAAAGCAGGACCAAGATTAAAGAGTGAGTTATCATTAAATTTGTATTTCAAATAAATGCAGTTGCTCCAATAATAGATATAATCTGCAAAAACTCTTGCCTCACATTTTCTGGACTGTCAGTGTTACAAGACAACAACATCACTCTAAAACTATTTAGAATAAAATGTGTTTTACAGCTTCCCCCCCACCCTTTTTCTTTCCTTTGCACTTAAGGTTAAACTAATAAAATAAAATTAATTTGGCTGATAAAGAACCTATGTTGCTTCTAAGAAATAAGATATGCAAGTAGAAAAAGTATTCAGACTACCTACTGGTATTCAGGAGGTGCCTGTGTTAATGCTGAATTGTTTTGACACATTTTTATATAACTCAGGCAGATGTTTCTGATTTTTTACGCTACCAGGAATTTCATTTATCAGTTTCCCTTCCTTCTAAGATACATATGTCACCTCATCATGATTGAGCCAAGTCTCAGGTTGCTGTTTTCTTGAATAAAATTTACATCTTTATAATAACTTAGAAGATTCATTGTCCACACTGCTGTTTAATAGTATGCCTAAATAGGCAAATGCTCAAACTTATGTTAGTTTTTTTTAAAAATGAACCCAGTAACGTTGAATGCAACTTAAGCCATCACTTCTACCTCTTGCTCACTGATGGGGTTTCATTTCTGATTTTGGAGCATCCTTGATCACTGTCCTTTTTTTCCTACCATGGCTTAAAAGGCAGCACCCACTGCCATTTCTCCTTTGGCAAGCAGGATCACATGATGCTTTTTTTGGTACTTCCCCCCTTAAGGTCAGTAATGATGCTATAAAAAGCATCAAGGAAGACCATACTTCCTTCTCCCTTTACGCTTCTGTACAAACTGCAGGTTGAATTCTCTAGGGCAAAACAATCTCTGCTGCAGGTCTGTGTTCTTGTAGGAGCCAGATGCCTGCAAAAGTGGGTATATTAGGAAGCACATTAAGTGTAAAACAGGATGAATGCAGTAGTATGCGTGTTTATACAGTAATGTTTTGACTTTAAATAGCATGAAGAGTTATTACCAACATCTTGAGGCCCTTGCATTCAAGAGGAAATACGTTAATAGAAAAAACAATCCATGCCAAACTGGTGTGGTTACAGACAGTTACCAGATTTTACTCAAGGTGTCAAACAAGGGATAGTGTCAAATAACAGGACTGCAATATAGACTTCTTAGTCCAGGTGTTGTTTGGATGGATAAAACTATCTATCTGTCATAACTGGAACAACCACCCACTCTATGGCACAAAGCTACATTATGTTTGATGGGTTATTCAATCTACCTATGCAGTAATGTCAGGTGGGTTGGGGACTAATATAAATGCCTTGTGGAAATGTCCACTGCTGTAGAAACTTGATATCTAGTGTTATTAAGTGTATGTTAAAAAACTATCTAAAAAAAGATTAAACATCCAGTGATAACACATAGAGACAAGCTTTTCTTCTTTTTCTGTAAAGAGCCTCAAGGCTGATTAGAAGACAGAACTAAGGACTGTGTTTATCTGAAGAGATGGTCAACTTGTAGAGTGGATGTGAATGACCAATACAAAATATACTTCTAGGTGGACTGAGAGACTTCAGGAGAAACTTTCCTCCAAATTAGGACCTTTAGGGTGCATATTAGGATTACATGCATATCTGCATACCTCCAACAACGTGCATATTCTCACCTTGTTGGAGACAGACTTGTTTTAAATTCCTTTTCTGTACATGTGGGCTCCATAGGTTTGAACAACTTTTCATATAAACTAAAGTTATATTTTTATCTTATGGTAACTTTGGAATATAGAGAAGGAATGATGCTGCCTTTTAAACACATCAACGTACATTTTTGAGCATAGCTACGCTATATAGGTTGAAGAACCTTACATGGCAATAAGTATTAATTTGATTTTGCAATAGAGGGCATTTCTCTTGATATTTATCCCCTGGACTTTTGAGACCTCCTAAGGCTGTCAGATATTACACATGGTAAGCACTCTGAAGGAAATAGTCAGGAGACTGTAAATACCATTGTTTTCTGGAACTGCCACTGGCGTTCATCTGAACAATGTGAGGAGCTCTTTTGTAGGATGTGTTGCTCTCTTAGCTCTTGAAGCAAGGTTTTCTTCCTGGACAGTCTCATGTGAGTCAGAGTAGCCATAGCAACGTTACGGAGACTTAACCTTCTGAGTACTGAGCACAGCAACAGCCTGTGTTTTCGCAATATGTAGTTAGTAGACCTGAGGAAGAGAGGATGTTTTGAATCTCTGTTTATCAACTAAGCTGTTTGTGGGTGGTTGTTGTTTTTTGGCACAGGTATATTCAACAATGATGGTACTAGCTCAAAGCTGGTAGAGCTACTACAAATACAATGCATGTCTTGTGTGGCAACTTACCTACAAGTATGTCCCAAAACATTTTACAGGATTATACGGTAAATATATGATTATGAAAATATAATAGTTTTGTTTTGACTAAGTTTAAAGAGAAGAAAATAATAAAACGGTGGGAAAAAGAGAAGAAATCATATGCATGGTGGGAGTAGAAGATCTGACCTGAAGTAGAAGGAAAATGTATCTGAGAGCTATTCTAAACTGCAGGAACTACAGAACAGGTCAGCTTTAATCACCACTAGTAGGACTATATGGTGGAATGGAGAGGAGGTATGTGTTAGCTGCATGGAAGGGAGCTGGTAGAAGTGGTTGAAACAAACCTATGGTGTATTTCAAAACAAAAGAAATTTTGAACTTGATCTTAAAATGGATAGCGATTGAATAGAGTTCTTTGAGCATTTGGGACATTAGATATTTTTTGGTGTGTGCGTAAAATGATAGCATCAACATTTTATTGTGCTGGCAATTTGGGAAGGTGGGATTGCATAGAAGAGCAAATTGTAACAGTTGAGAAGATAAGGGGAAAAAAGGGCTATTTGATGGAGAGGTGAATTCCAGGGGCCTGGTGTACAATTGCATTGTGGCTAAGGCAGATTTGCAAATTTATTGTTGCAGAAAGATTTCAGTATTTCAGGTTATGTCTGTTGTTAATGAAGACATTTAGACAAATCAAAAAAGAAGGATGTGGAGTTAGTGCTTTTGAGAAGTATATCTATTTTAGAATTTTAGCTGAAAGAAGATGAATTCATAAGTTTCTTTTGAAGACATGAAAATTGAGTGAGCAGAGAAGAGTCAGTGAGTGTACACAGATGCTGCCTTTGTGCCACCAAAAAACTGGCAGAAAGGCCAAGCATACAAACATCTGTGCCCTTTGTTGTGGCACAAATACCCAAAGTTTTGATGCATCAAAACGTGCATCAAATTTAGGTTCCTAAAACGTGCATCAAAACTCCAGTATGGTCTTGGAGATTGGATCGCTGACTTTCCGTGCTTTCAGAGACATGCCCTTAAGATTCCCAGAGGCACATCTCTGGAAGCAGGGACCACACTACCCTTTGCCTCACAGGATCAATGGGTGGGACAATGGGTGATGTGTTTCTCCTAATTAACTGGATCAGATGTGCTGAGATGCATCATGGCACAGCTGATTTGCTTAATTTGGTGATGTCTATTTAAACCCAGTGATATTGAATGGTATGTGCAGTTGTGTATCAAAAGCAGTGGACAAGTAAAAGGTTGCTAGAAAACAGCAGTACTGGGTACTTCATCTTGTACGATGCAATAGAGCATGCCTGGTATAGAATGAGAATGATTTTGTGGCCTGCTATGAAGTGCCAGAGAAAAAACAAGTTCCTAAGTGACAGCTGAACTGCGTTCAAGATTAGGGATGTTAACTAGTAAATAATTAATACTCCATCACTTAAAATTTATGGTAACTGGCACTGAGGAGCCTGAAATTTCTCCTATACCACTTTCTACCCAAGCATGGATTATACCAGAGTTTTTAACTTCATCTACAGTTTTGTTTAGGGATTAGACATAAAATCTTACTTACTCTTCACTGAGGCCACCTAATTGGTTTAATACACCTTGGATGATCTTCTCATGCTTCTCAGACAAATGTTTTTGCATGACAGCAGACAGAGCATACTCCTTGGCCCATAGCTAAGAGTTGGGGAGGGAACCACAATGGTAAGATTTCCTCATTGTAATCGCTTTAACATTTTACTATATTATGAATTGCATTTTTTCTGTAGTATTTCATACACAATGGTCTCATGAAGGCTACCAAAGCTGAAGAAGGGTGTTTGTGCCTGAAAGCATGCAAAGAACAATTTTACAACTATTTAGTTAGTCTAATAAAATATATCACATTTACCCAAAGAACCTTGTCTGAACAAGTCTTGGGGCACCTATGTAGTGTCATGCAGATCGTTTTTTGTTTGTTGTGCTGATATGGCATGTGTGGTTGTTGAAAAGCCCGTGTATCCACTTCTGTGTCACTTTTATCCCTGTATGGATTATGTTGTGCTGTCTCTGTATATCTTTGATTTTGATCCTCATTTGGCCAAAGGAAAAAGAGAATAGGAAAAACCTCTAAGTATCTCTTTCCATTGTGATACTAGGGCAAGGACAACTGCCACTCCCAAACACAAGCAGAAAGGTCCACTGGTGGGATGGGTACCCATGTTATTGTCCACTTATAATGGGATAAACAACTGTATTATAGGAAAGGCACCTGAGAGAAATGGCCCATTGGCCAGAGGTGCTCCAGATGTCTTGGCAAGATAAGACATTTCTGGAGGATTCTGTGACTCATGAGCAATTACAGCAATGAAGATGTGGGGAAGGGCTGGTGTGGAAGTATTTTAAGTGTTTTTTGTAAGGTGGCAAGGGCCTTTTGGATTTTCTCAGGTTTTGGAGGAATCCAGGTCCCCAGCAGTCCAGGCTGGCAGGATCAGCAGGAAGGCTGGATACTGGCAGGCCTCTCTGAAGGATAGGTGGTAGTCAGATGAGAGGGTAAGAAACTTGTCTTTTTTTGTTCTGTCTCTAAATTAAAGTTCAATTTTTTCCTGTATAAGTCTTTTCTCCTACATAACAAATAGTTTTGTTGAGGTCTGGTATAAGGGCACTGGAGCTAAGGCTTGCAGAGCTAAGGAGTTATCCCACGGCAAACCTTCATTTGTACCTTGGGTCAAGTGGTGGGATCGCAGGGAGAAACTTGGGATTTTATGGGTACCCTGTAAGCAGGTTTGTGACAAACATTACCCCCCATAATTTCCCTTTCTCCCACATACCACATTCACATGGAAGTATTAAAAATGCCACTCCTATCAAGATATGCTATTCCTAAATGTTTTTCCCAATACTTAGAGATATGAACTAAAACTCATTGGAGACAATGGGAGTCTTTCCTCTGAATTCACTAGGATTTGGATCAGGCCTGAGCTTTACTTCTCAGCAAGTAGGCGTTGCAGTTTTTAACTAATTGACAAAGGGTAACCGGCAAAATGGACACAAGAATATTTCAGCAAGTGATGCCTGTGGGTTTCAAAGATTCCACTTCCACCTCGCCTCCGAATTCTAAATGAAAACTATTAAAACCCCTTTCTGAAGCACTGCATGATTTTTGTTTTCACTGAACAAGTTGAAGATTTTGTCATCTTGCAGCAAACTCCATATTCTACACTGTTTGTATGCAGTATAGACAACTGTGCTCCCTAGTGGTTAAAAAGGGCCTATATTAAGCAACCTACACTATGATTTAGCATGTGCTAAGTAGAAGCAAGTGGGCAAAGTCTAAGGTGCCCTTCAAACCTATGCTTTTAAATAGGCACATGGCTGTTTTAGGAAGATCTGCAAGGTGTACCTATTTGTCCAGGCCATCTAAAATGACTAAACTGTGGACACCTAGTGACTAGTAAAGCTGCAGCCAAGAAGGGAACATGTTGTATGGGCTCTTATTATATATAGCATGTGTCAAATTAAGCTTTATAAGCCCCCCTGATACCTTGGTGACAAATGTCAAATACATGCTTGAATTAGTAACTGTACCAATAACTAACTTTGGCTGCTCTATTTTGAATAGGCTTATCAAAAGTTTCACACTTATCCATGTATGGCTAGTGAATTCAGCAGTTTCCAGAAGTCCTCCATGTCTGTGCATTGTACTTGTTCTCTTTTGGCAGTTCTGACAAGAAGAGTTAAACTGACCTTTTCCTTTCTGGAAGGGGATTTTCAGAGATGGATGCTCAGTGACTGCACTTAACTGCTCGATCGTTCTTGCTAATCATTTCAAAGACCTGGTTATTGACTGAGGAGCTATTTCTGTGTCTTACATGCCAGTTTGCTCTCAAATGCTACCTGGGTTAAATCTCACTGGGCTCACTAGGAGAAGGAAGATGAGGGGATACACTGAACTGTAATATATTTGCAGTCAAATAAAAAATATCAACCC